CTTGTCACTATCTTCACACCCACAGAGCAGCCCAGTGAGACCCTGGGGTGTCCTGCTGCATGGGGAGGAGGAGCTTTGGGCACCAGGGCCTCTGGGCTCCTGGGTGGCTGAGCCAGCTCAGTAAGCCATTATTTCTCCTCTGGGGCAGGCAATCCTGTCCGTCTCCTGAGGAAAGAAGGGAAGGTCCTGCCAGGCAGCTGGCTGCACTGCTGCAGGTATCCAACACCGACTGACTCCACTCAGCCCAAGTCTGACCAGAATGTGGCCAGGGCAGATGACTGGGTGCCCAGTGTGTGCGCTGAATGCTGATGGGGGGTGGGGAGGAGGTCCCTGTGCAGTGTGTGTTCCTGGCTCCCAAGCATGGAGCTGGGCTGGAGTGAGACCAGATCCCAGCGTGTGCATGGGGGGTGGGGAGCCTAGCCTCACACCTGCTATGCCATGTTCTCTCAAGGCTGGTCTGTCTGCAGAGAAAGGCAGAGCCATGGGATGTGAAACCACGGTGCAGGGGGAGCAAGGTGAGGCTCTCTGCCGGCTGAACTGCGGAGGCTCACAATTTTGCTGCTGATCTTAGCACTTGCTCTCCCTCATTTCACAGGGTGCTGTGGGTTCATTGGCATAGGGTTCCTGGATGGAACAGCAGTCTTTTGTGTTGGCTCTGCCTCTTGCTGCTGATTGGCTATGGGTGCCAGTGGCCCCACCCCTCACCACTGATTGGCTGAGGGGACTGGTGGGTCCTACCCCTCACCCAGGGGATGTCTTGTATTCTGGGAATCCATCAGTGGCCACCCTGTATTGTCCCCAGGTTACGACTCTAATTTTATAATTGTTTGGGTACAAGAGTGGCTGGCTGAGCCTGAGGAGAGTGAGTGGAGCTCTGAGGGGGCGGGCAGAGAGAAGGTCCCATGGTGGGCAGAGTAAAGTCCAAGTGAGGACTGGGGGAACTGGAATGGCACAATACAGCCTGTTTTGAAGCTGTCTGCTGTACTGCTTGGGACATCAGCACTCTGATAATCCTCTTCTTTTAAAGAAGCAAACACCTTTCCTCCTTCGCAGGAGCTCCCAGAAGTGGCGGTGCTACAGATCTCTGGGGAAGCCAGGGACTGAGAAAAGCCAAGGTCTCAAAAGCCAGAGCTTGTCCCCTGTGAAGCCACACTAGGGCTGGATGCTGGGTGCTCTTAGGAGAGGGAGACCAAATAAAGCTGCTTTTTGGGGGAGCTGCAAAGAAGAGCTTTCCCCTTCCCCTCTGAAAGGGGCAGGTTGATGTATATATATTTCTGGTGACATCCCCTTTCCTCAGGAGAATCATAGAGTGGAAGGGACCTGCAAGATCATCTAGTCCAGTTTCCTGCCATAGGCATGAGGTTATTGGGCTCAAACAAGCTCAACAAGGCGCTTATCCATCCTCCTCTTGAGCACCTCTCAGGATGGTGACTGTACCACTTCTGCTGGGAGTGTTCCAGATTCTAGTTGCCCTTATGGAAAATAAGTTTTTCTCTATGTCTAGCCTAAACTTTCCCTCTTTTTTTTTTTTTTTTTAGCTTGTGCCCATTGGTCTTCATCTTCCTAAGGGGTGCCTTCCTGAAGAGTTGCTCCCCTAGATCTTGGTGCTTACCCTTGACATACTTGTAGGTAGCTATCAAGTTGCCTCTGTCTCCTTTTACTCAGACTGAACAGGCCCAGTACCCAGAGTCTCTCCTCATAGGGCCTATCTGCCAGGCCCCTAATCATATGGGTGGCCCTTTTCTCTACCGTCTCAATCTTATCTGCATCCTTCCTCAAGTGGACACAGTACTCCAGCTGTGGCCTCACCAATGCTGAATAGAGAGGGAGGAACACCTCCCTGGATCTATCGGCAACACATCGGCTGATGCACGCCAGAGTGCTGTTTGTCCTGCTGGTAACCTCATTGAACTGTTGGCTCGTGTTCATCTTCCGGTTGATTGTGACCCCCAGATCCCATTCAGATGCTGTGCCAGCCAGTGTACCACCACCCATTGTGTAGTTACAGGGATGCATCTTCCTACCCAGATGCAGAACCCAGCACTTTTATCTTTTAAACCTCATCTGATTCTGTTCAGCCCATAGAACCAGTCTGTCAAGTTTAATTCTGGATCCTTACCTTATCCTCTGATGTGTTTGCATTTCCCACAGCTTGGTATAATCTGCAAACTTAATCATTGAGCTTTCCACCCCCTCATCCAAGTCATTAATCAGTGTGTAAAAGAGCATGAGTCCAAGGACTGATCCCTGGGGAACACCACTGGAGATGGTCCTCCAGGATGAGGCCGTCCCATCGATTACAACTCTATGGGATTAGCCTCTAAACCAGTTGTCCATCTACCTCACTGTAGACTAGTCTAGGCCAGTACCCTCCAATTTAATTGACAGAATCTCATGGGGAAACAGAATCAAAGGGTTTACTGAAGTCTAAGTAAATGATATCAACCTCATGTCCCTTGTCCAGCTGGTTAGGTACCTGGTCATAAAAGGACACCAGGTTTATCAGGCATGATCTACGCTCAACAAAAGTTGTGCTGGTTGCTTCTTAATACCCCACCAGTTATGAGCTTGTAATTGACGGCATCCTTAACAACTTGTTCAAACATTTTCCCCAGGACCAAAGTCAGACTGTTGTTTGCAGGGTCATCCTTCTTCCCTTCCTTAAAAATAAGTACCATGTTGGTCCTCTTCCAGTCATCTGGAACCACTCCCAAGTTCCATGACTCTTTTGAACAGCTTCACCAGAGGCCCTGGTATAAGCTCAGCCAGTTCTTTTGGGACTCTCGGATGCAGGTCATCTGGCCCAGCAGATGTGAAAATGTCCAGGTGTTCTAAGAGTACCCTCACTTGTTTGGGACTCATTTCATGTGGTCTGTTGTCTTCCCCATATTCCCTGGGCCTTGAGACAGGGGAACAGCTCCCATTGGATTTCAGGAATACCGATGTGAAGTATGTATTTAGGAGCTCTGCATTTTCTTGGGAATCAACCGTGGCCTGCACTTCCATATTAAGTAAGGGTCCCACAGTGAAGCTTAATTTTTTTTCCCTTTTGCTCCCTATGTATCTATTGAAGGATTTTTTGTTGTCCTTTATTTTAGTTGCCAGCTTGATCTCCATGCCTGCCTTGGCTTTCTGTGTCTCATCTGCAGACTCTGATTATATACGTGTACTCCTCTCTGGTTGCTGAACAATTTTTCCTTTGATTATGTGCTTCTTTTTTTCTTTTTCAATAGTTACCTAATATCCCTTTTGAGCCAAGCGGGTCTGTTGGCTACTTTCCTGCTTTTTGACTGCGTGAGAATGGTCTCTTTTTGATCAGTAAGAATTGCCCCTTTGAAGAAGCAACACCATTTCTAAACTCCCAAGTTGTCCAGTTGCTGATCGCAGAGGGCCTCTCTAACTAGACTCCTGAGTTTGCCAAAGTCTGCCCTTTTGAAGTGTAGGACTTCAGTTCTACTAACTGAATTCCCAGCCTTTCAGTGGATGGTGAACCTAATTGGATCGTGATCACTGTCGTCCAGAGTACCTCCAATCCTCAGGTTGCCTACCATGTCTTCTCTCTCGGTCAACACTAAGTCCAGAGTGGCTTTACCCCTAGTCGGCTCTTACACAGCCTGTGTCAGGAACAGGTCGTCAGTAGCTCCCAACAAGTTGGCTGACCTGCTGGAACTGGCTGAATAGTCTTCCCCGCACATGTCAGGGCAGCTGAAGGCAGCCAAGACAATCGGGTCTTTGGTGCTGGCTGCCTCAGTCAGTTCCCTGGAGAGTGCCCCATCCCTCTCCTCTTCTTGGGAGGGAGGCCTGTAGGTAGACTCTCACCACCAGGTTTCCCTCTTCTGAACCCCCTTGTATCTTGACCCAGAGGATCTTCCTTACTTCAGTATTAGAAGCCATGCCTCTTTGAAAAGTAGTTATACCAGATACAGCAATCAGAGCTAAAGTGAAAGATCTCTCTCTAATGACACAGAATCTTAGGATAATTCTTCCCCACTGGGATACTGCTTGGATTTGTTGTTGTTTTTAAAAAAACTACATTGTGTGTTTGTGTGGTTGGAGTTGATCTTATGTACTTCAAGTATAAGCTAACATGTTTGCAGAATTGGAACAAGCATACTGCAAAGGCTGAAGAATGAAGGATTGAAATGTGAAAGTGGTTGTGACCAAGAGATGGGATAAAGCCAGGGAAAAGCCAGCTATTTGCAGCCAACACTTTTTAGCTGGGTTGCTGACAGGCATTTAGCTGTTTTGTATTCCCCCTCTCTGGCCTTGATTCTACCCTGTGACTTGTGGTTGGTGCAAGCAGAATGATAAAAGGCATGAGGCTTGCTGCTACCTTGAGTTGAGTGCAGCCCTCTCTGCCTTCTGCTGATTTGGTGAGAGAGAGGAGATTTAAGTCTTCCACTCCCTGGAAGAGGAGACCAATATGGGGTACAGCAGCCCCATCTGTTGGGGAACAGAAGAGGAAATATAAGTATTCAGTGTTGTGCCAGGGTATAGTGCATTGTGGAAAAAGGCATGTGTAATATTTAGCACTCTTTAAAATTGATATACCTGAGAAAGTTACCACAGAACAACTATGGGAAATGAGCTGAAAGAGGGAAAAATCTGCTCTTTATATCTGCCAATTTTATTTTCAGTAGACAAGTGCACTTGTGGCAAACTTCTGTGCGAGAGAAATGATTAGGTAAGCTCCTGTTACTTGATAATTGTTGCGTGTGTGTGTACAATTGTACATGCGTGCCCCGTGAGCCTAAATGGCTGAATGTTGGGCTTCTCTAGGTGATAAATTGGAATTCTTTTGGTCTGATACTGAAGGATTTCTACTGAATTATCTGATTATGCAAATCCTCACATTGTGCTTATCTGCACAAAGCTTGGTTTGCTTCATTTACAGTGATTATTTAGAGTTTAATAAGGGTTGTGTATCAAGATACTCTGATTAGCCAAGAGGTACCGTTTGCCAAGGTGCTGTTAAACTTCCATCTTCTCTTTGTAACTAGGGGAGATGGAAGAAGAGATGGAAAACCCAGAAATGGTTGATTTGCCAGAAAAACAGAAGCATCAGTTAAGGCACCGAGAACTCTTTCTCTCGCGACAGCTGGAATCTTTACCAGCCACACACATCAGGTAATTACTTCTTTTTATTCTTCTAGGATTCAAGAAACAGAATGTAATACTATACCCATATTCTTCTATGTGCAAAAACTTTTACACAAAAGTTAGAGCATTACTATCCAATATCTAGCATAAAACCTTAAATATATATTAATAAAAATTGATTTTTCTCTTTTAGAGGCAAATGCAGTGTTACTCTGTTAAATGAGACGGAATCCCTTAAATCATATCTGGAGCGAGAGGTATGAGCCCTTTTCTTTTAATTGAAAAAGTTTATCAGGTTATTTTGCTGCAGTTTAGTTGCAGAAATCTAGGTTTAGTGTAATTGGAGATTCTCCCTCCCATTTTTGATGGGTTTGGGGCATTGACAGAGTCACGAGAAAACATTAGGCTCACCATAGTTTTCAGGTTTTGCATTTTTTTGTCTTGCTAAAATTCTGTGACTAGCAGGTAAGGTTGTTACTTAGGTTCATGTGATACTCAGTCACCTCTTCTCCTATAAAGAGAACCCATTTTTTTGTCAGTGCACCATTCTGAAAGTTCAAAGATTAGAGCTAAAATTGATGACAAGGACTGAAATATATGATAGATATTGCTGGAAGAAGCAGATGCATAATTGACCATATTATTCATGTTGTATAATGGATATTGTGAAACAGGAGTTACTTAAATTATCTGAAATAACTTAAAAAAATAAAGGTTTAAAGATTCAACTTAAAATGCCCCATTTTTGGTGTCCTGTTTGATTCCCTTAAGGGGACCTGATTTATTTTATTTTATTTATTTATTTATTTATTTATTTTCTAGAAAACTCCCAGGTCCTTACCATCTGGAAATCTGGCCCCTTGGACTGGGCACTTAAAATTAATCAAACTAGTAATCACTATTAAAGATTTTAGTTCATGGGTCCTACTTTTTCTTCTATGTTTTGTGACTCTGAACTGTACAACTTTAATTTTGTACTGATACCTTTATGGGCATTTATAATTGTTGACATTTATGAGCTACATGCTGGTTTTGGTAATCTTGTTTGGCATTTGACCTGACACTTTAGGAGCCTTTTTCCTGCCCCCCCCCCCGAGATT